CCTACGCCGCGGCGACTGCTGCCGCCGTCGCCGCGCGACGACGATCGCGGCCGGCTTCATCGATTGAGCTGTCCACGAGGATAGATGTTGGACGGACTAGAGACGGACTTGATCGTCCGAGTTGCTTAGAAACCTGCCACTAGTTCGTTTCCATTGTCGTCGATGATTTATGATATCAGATGAAAGAATGTCAAATAAATGGAGAACGTCAATAGAATTTGATTTCTCATTTATTATACCCCAGAAGTTATGTTTGTAACGAAATAGAAAAAGATCGATGAATTTCGGCAGTCGTTCGTCTTAGAACCGTTCCGACGAATTCCGTATTCCACCCACTCGAGCTATCCGCTGATTTTAATCACAGGTGGGAGGCGTAGCTCGGTAATCGCGGAACGGCTTAATAGAAACGAGAGCGAACGACGTTAAAGCTACCCTAGGGAGAGCTGAGGGACGGCGAGGGGTGATGCTAAAGGTGGCTGACAATTGCAGTCCATCTTAGTAGAGCAGCCAACAGGTCCCCAGGCAGTAAAAGCGTTCGCCGAGGAATCACGCTGGTAAGATCGTTAAAGTCGTGGTAAGGTCGAAAGCACGCCACAGCGCCGTCAATGCGTTCGTTTACTTCGCTCTCTTTCATCCATCCTTCCTTCCTTCCTTCCTTCCGTCCGTCCGTCCGTCCTTCCTTCCTCGGTGGAGGAGCCACCGAGTCGACGACGACGCGACGGAGTCCTGTGTACACGCGGTTATGGTAATGCGATGTTCGCGGTGCGTGTTAGCCGGCTGCGTGAGCGGCCCTCGTAATGGTAACGAGACGGTCTCTCACCATCATCATCAACATCCGGACGACGAAACACGATGTGAACGATCAACGACTGTTGCGAGGTTCCGAGCCGCGGCCTCAAAGGTGCCGACCGCGATCCGCTCGCTGGCTATTTTTAACCTGTTTTCGCGTCCACTTTGAGTACCGAGAGAACAGAGAGAGAGAGAGAGAGAAAGCCTCACGCCGCACCACACCAGTGGCTCGTAAGCGTGCATTCGATGGAATGCCACGCACCACTGGCCACGAGAGCACCCGCGAAACGAATCGACCTTCTGGAAAAAAGAAGCCGAGAGGAGTCATGGACGGACGCACGGTGATGTAAGACAAAGGATGATGGTTAACGAGCGGATATTAGGGTCCGGGACCTCTCGGCTGTTCGTTCATCGGATTGTCTCAGCTTAGATAGAAGAGGCTCGCTTCCTAGTACGGAACAGGCCGCAGTAATTTAATTAGGAAATAACATTGTCTATATGAAACGGCGACATCATGGCACAGGATTAAATAATGGATGTAATAAACGAGAGAGAAAAGTTTTCATGCTTCCTTTCTTAAATGTCAGATTCAATCTTTATCACTGCTGACTGTAAGAGGTTCCTTGTGGCAAGGAAAATTGGCATGATCGAGATTGAGATCTTCCATGGTGACACCTGCATGAAAGAATCAGAACGAGATAATGAAAGTATCGACAGCTGCAATTATTAAATTCTTGAAGACCTTATAACTCCAACCTACTTAAGAAAATCTGGTTTTATAAAACCACGTATGAATTAATTAATGCATCTTTGTTATCATTTGAAATCCATCATGGCGTCAGAGTGAACATCGGATTTAGTGAAAGAGCCTGATACCCAAAACCATGATGTAAAAACATAAGGTGTGTTATTGCGCATCCATTTGAACATCTATCTGTACACGGACACTTCCACTCGTTGGCCATTTTGGATTTCTAACGAATCACACTTCATATTAAAACAGAGCGAATTTAAAAATCGTAAACATGTCAAAAATTAGTTTCTCGGAGAGTAATATATATGCGTGTTTGAAATAAACAATAGATCATCGTACTTCCAATATGGCCGATGAGTGGAAGGCGCAAATAGCGACACATTTGAACACGCCGGAAGAACACACCTTATGTTTTTACATCATGCCCAAAACGACGTCGCCGAGGTTATGTTGTTTGCGTCGTGACTCATCTATACCACTCGGATGGCCGGAATCTTTAAACGCTTTACCTGCTACCGGAATCTCCGCCGGGTGAATAGAAGCTGGCGGCCAGTAACAGCCGTCACTTTGTCGGCCTTTGTCACGGGGATTATGCGCCCGGCTGCCAAATTATGACGGACACCTTCACGCCCAGGACACCCTCTAATGCGCCGGATACGCAAGGGAGATCGTTTAAGAGTGGAAGATGAGACCGGAGAGAAAACACAGAACGAGCGAGACGTTCATAAGCACCAGAACGAGTTCTCCAAGAATTCTATGCGAATTTGGGTGAATCATAAATTCGATGGAGATACAACTGGATTATCAACACAACGACTTTCTTCATTTTTCTTTTATACATTCACGTAATTTGTAATAGTCTTATGAAAATGTATAAAAATTAATAGACGAATTTGTTTGTCTGTCGTTCGCATGAAGTGACTGGCATTCTGCAACGTCCTCTCCCCAAGGTTTCTCTTTATTTTTTTTTTACGAGATTCGAACACGAGGCACTTCGGTCCTCGGTAACGGGCGTTCGGTCGCAGGGGTGGTTTGATTTACGGCATAATAAAGCGGTTACGCAAAGCGTAGGAGGGACGGAGTCGTGAATTTTATTTACGATTTGCCCGAAAATTCTGATTCGACGCGGTTTCTCAACAGCGTCGGTGCTCTGAGGAGTCTTGGCTCGTAAAATCAGCTACGAAAACCGAGCGATGGTGTAAGACGGCCGACTGTTTTCCCGTAGCTCCGAGTATCGAACCGTGAAACATTTTATCAGCGAAACTTCCCGGCTCCGGTGATCTCGCACAGCAGCGTGTAAATGAGATATTTACAACTAGGCTGGTCAGCTCCTGCGACTCGTTAACGAGAGTTGAGATTCTCTGACCCGATAAGTAGAGGCCACTCGAGGGTAATTAGTCTGACGACCGTAAATGCCGGGGGTGGCGACTTTTGATAATTAATCTAAATGTAATTAGACAGTGCCGGTAACCGATGTCGGTCCCGTTTCCGTGACGAAACGGCTGATAAAAATTAGAGTTTGCCGACGGAGCTCTTGACAGCCACCGGATTGGTACGATTCACGGTTATATCCGCCCCGGAGGAGAGGGGCTCTTTCTCGCCGACGGCGGCGTGTCTCGATACGTGCTCCAAAGGCGATTCGGTGTTAGCGGCCCATTATGCCGGATCATAATTGCGTCGCAACAACGTTTCTCCTTTCCAGTAACCACAGCTGGGCGGCTCCCTTTCATCTCGCTCTCGGGCCGCGAGAACGAGCTTCTGTTTCCGAGGTGTTTCCGCCGCCGGCTACCGTTCTGAAAGCTGGAACTTGATCTTAAGTAGTCGGTATCATGACTGGGGCCAACGGAGGGAGTAAGGGGAGAGGGGAACGGGCCTGTAACCGTGCGTACGCGCGCGGGACGAAGACGGAGCGATGACTGGGTCGTGGCGTAGATAGGAACACCGTGTGGCGAAACAGACGGTGGTGGATGAGAGACGGAGAATGTAAAGGGGCGAAGTGGCGCCGACGACGACGTTTCCTCCTTTTAAATTATTCCTCCGGCCCGCTGTTTGTTGCCGCGCCGCTCGGACTTATATTACCTTCTATATGCAGCCTCGCGGTGAAAATCCTTGTCGACGAGGCGAAATTATGGACGAGAGAGGAAAATTGATCGATTTGACGTCGTTAAGGATGATCCTTACTGAGTATCGTGATTAAGTAGACTCTCGTGGAAACGGCATGCTATGTTAATATGCGTTAATGAGAACTTCGGCACGAGTTACTTGTCGTTGGCTGTCTCATTTGTTTAATACGTCTCAAGATCTATATCGGCCTATCAGATGCTCCTCCATTACTTATTCAGCAATGGTAGCTATGTGGGCTCATGCAGATACAATTAGTGTCACAGTTAGTGTCTATGAATTCCCTTTTTTCAAGCAATATATAAAAACAATGACAAAGCATTCAAATGTTAACAGTTATTAGATATTATATTAATAGAACACTGTAAAATTTAAGAAATTTTGCAAGGCTATTAAGAATGTATTGGTTATACAGTCAATCCCATAAGTTTATGTACTTTAGAAAAACGCATTTCTTATAATTAAAAAGAAATCAGACGTCGGAAGAACAATGCTAATAATAAATAGCTACGTGCTAAAAAGTATAGAAGGAAATATCCAATTAATTATTGACGCTGGCGAAAAGCTTTTTATACA